TGCATAACCTATCTTCATAGGTCCTTGAATTTGGTTGTCTGAGGTTAAGCGTTTGGCTCGGATGCGACAAATCTCGCGTTCAAATGACAAATCCTCCCACTGAGAGTAAGCCATGCCCACCACCAACAAGCCATCGCTATCAGAATGAATCAATTTGTACTGTCATAAATACAGCTCGAGTGTAAGAACCTTCATTGCTTTCTCTAATGTGCCTAAAGTTTCATTTATCATCCCCAATTGTGGATGCCCTGGTGACCCTATAAGAAATTCGTGCACAACACCATCTATTTGGATCCAGCTATGTCCTGGTTGCTTCTTGACCCTCCTTTCTCTCATGAACCACCTCAGAACGGAAACATCATCCCATTGCCTATCAGCTGCAAATGCATTAGCCAACATCACATAACCAGCAGAGCTTTCAGGGTCAACTTCCACAAGCTTTTTCGATACATGCTGAGCAACTTCTCCCCTAGCATGGAGCAAGCAACCCCCAAGTAAAGCTCCCCACACAAAGTTATTAGGTTCAAAAGGCATAGAGGCAACAACTTCTAAAGCTTCTTCAATATGACCTACACGTGAAAGGAGATCAATATAACAGGCATAGTGTTCCAAACTGGGAGAGAGTGAAATTCTCATCTGCATCACTGAAAAGATCCTCCGTCCCTCATCCAACAAACCTGAGTGGCTGCATGCACATAAGGCTGCAAGAAATGTGCTAGCATCAGGATGCAGACCAAAATCTTGGATGCCGGAAAATAGCTGCAGTGCCTCTTCTCCTTCACCATTCATTGCAAGGCCCATGATCATAGCATTGAACGAGACAATATCTTTTCGTATCATCTGATTAAAAACTTCTTTAGCCCCCTCCAGCCTCCCGCACTTACAATACATGTCTATCAATGCAGTCGCTAGAACTTTGTTCGATTGAAGAATGCCTTTGCTGCCTTCTGACCTCAAATAATTGTGAACCCAATTGCCAAGATCCAAATTACCAACCTGAGCACTAGCAGAAAGGACGCTAACCATAGTAACTTCATTAGGTTTTCGGTTGCTATCCTCCATCATTTGGTGGAAAATATGCAGAGCCTCCATAGGGCAACCATTTTGCACAAATGCAGTTATCATGAGATTCCAAGGAAGCAATCTTCCAATTCCATGATCAGTTATTTCGTTGAATTTTTCCCTACACTTATCTATTCTTGCCAATTTTCCATACAAATGTATAAGAACAATATTGGTTGAATCACGTTTAATATCATCAAGATTCCCATCTTCAACAAATTTTGACAGAATACTAACCCATTTTTCTAAATGGGCTACCTGAATAGTAGAACAAGCCGATAAGACACTTACAAGGATTTCATCTTCAAGCCTCAAATTTTCCTGGACAATGTTAACAAAAAGCTGCAACGCATCTTCAGCCTGACCCGACTGAGCATAACCAGAAATCAAAGAAGCACAAGAGACCAAATTCCTCTGGGGACTTTCATCAAACAGCTTACGGGCGGAAACCACATCCTTAACTGACTTGGCATAAATGGAAAGAAGGCCGTTACACACGACAGGATCCTCACAAAAACCAGCTTTGAGCACATGGGTGTGAACCTGATTCACTTGACGGGCGCTCGCGCGTCGAAAGCAGGCCTTGAGAAGGAACGAGAACGTGAAATCATTCGGCGAGAGCCGGCGCCGCTTCAAGGCTCTGAACAGGGACCAAGCATTCGGAAACAGGCCCTCCTCGGCGAAGACCCTTATGATGGCGTTGAAGGGGAAGATGTTGGGTTGCTTCAGCTGTTCGAAAACTTCGAAGGCGATGCGAGATGGGTATAGGCCGATGAGACGGGTCGCCACCAGATTGTCCTGGTGGGCATCGAGCCTGAAGACTCGGGCGTGGATTTGAAGAAGGTGAAGGCGGGGAACGCGGCCTTGCAAGAGAGTGGAAAGATCGGAAGCATGAACAGGTGGAGTTTCTGCTGCGGAGTGAAATGAGCGACAGCTTCTTGGTACGAGGTTGGATGGAGACTTCGGAATCCCAGAAAACATGTCGGAGGCTAATTAAAGTTCGCATCTTTGGGTTTCGGACGGCGACGGAAGTAGAAACGGGTACTAGACTGGGGTGTCTGAATGAAATAATATTAGATAGCCAGCACAAAACAAATAATATGAAGTATTTTTAATAACCAGCACAAAAAAGAAGATTAGATAACCAGCTTTTTCCTTCTTTCACTACCAATCGACGGGCCTCGGTGATAGCCGGCCACTGGCCACAAAAGAGGGCCGACCTTGCCAGTCTCAAGCGAGGTCAAGCTAGCCTAAGGTCGGCTAGGCTCCACGTTGCCAGATCCAGGCGAGGTTGGCCCTCGCCTGTGGCTGGTTGTTGGTCATTGCGAAGGCCCAGTCACTAGCGGAAGAAGAAAGAAAAACAGAAAGAAAGATAAGAAAAAGAAGAAAATAAAAAATTGTTAAAAAATTTGAAATATTTTTTAACAAATTGTCAAGGCTAGCGTCGACTATGCCACGTAAGATAATCGGTGTTCACGTCAGTAATTTCAAACCAAAATTGGCAAGAATGACTAAATTGACAGATTGTTAAAAGGTTTAGAACTCAATTGGTATAATTAAAAGATTTGGAACTGAAATAGTACAAGTGTAATAAGTTTAAAACTCTTTTAGTAATTTCCCCAATAGGAAGCACTAGCACCATATGTTCAAGAGTATGATACCATAATAATCACCCCTACTTACTAGGAAGCAAGTTATTTACTCAATTATTCCCAAGATTAAATCTGAAATACTCCATCAAGACAAAGATTCGAACGAAGCTTGACTTCATTAACATAATGCCATTTGGCAGGTCAAACAGCAATAAGCAGATCTGACCTTTTTTCTATGCCGGTGGAAGATTGAGATGAGGAGGTGAACTAACAAAAGAACCAATCAAGACATCATCTTTCTATTCTTTCCCAGCCGAAGCAAAAGGCAAGTCTCCAACTTATCATCACGGCCCTAATTCTACCCAACAACAGTTCTTGCTATATAAACTCCCATCCCCTTCCTCTCAGCCCATCAATTTCAAGTCCTTGAGCCTATCACAAGATAATATCTATTGCCCACTTGCCAATATGACTTCTTTCTCAAAGAGCCTTGTCCCCTTCATTGCCCTAATTTTCTCTAGCATGAACATGAGCTTCGGAGCTCGTCATATGCTACAAGTCACCATGCCAACCATACCGACTCTTCCCACCATACCAACTTTACCGAACCCGGTGTCGTTGCCGCTATTGCCGGCCATGCCAACATTGCCCAAGGTCGCCGTGCCACCCATGCCCATCATCCCGACGACCCTGCCTCAACCCACACTACCGACACTTCCGAGCTTGCCGACTGTGCCAGCCACCTTACCGCCGATGCCAAGCATCCCTACTTCTCTCCCTAAAATCCCCTCTATTCCTTTCCTCACCCTGCCTCCAGCTACTAGCCCCTGAAGATTTTTTGTACCATTGATCCATCGGGTGCCTCAGTGTGCTTTTAACTAGAGTTTATTAGCATGTTCGTTAATTTATGAGATGTCTCTTGGGATTCTGTTTGTTATTCAATGTTTATTGCCATGTAACTTCCTACCTCTATGATGTGTATTGATCACACATTGCTTGCGTTTTATCATGTTCTTCTCGTTGCTGCCCCAGCTCGTTATCGCGTCCAGTATATTCAATCGATCTCATTCAATTGACAACACAGGCGGTCTATACTTATATATTACAAATATATCTCTTCAAGACAAGTTCACGCGTGTGTATTTATTAGAAGAAAACATTCATATAGAAAAATACGACTAAGATTTATTATTATTACATGTAAAAATATACCGTCTGACAATGAGAGTATTGTCAAAAGAACAACAGTTCTATGTTTGGTTGTGTCAAATAAGCATGGTCAATCTCGAAAGATCGAATTAGGCTTAGATTTGACACAAACTAATTTCATCAGACTCGGAATTTTGTAGTTCCGACCAAGGCAACTCTTTTGGGATCTCGCCAAGTCTTTCGCTCACGATAATTAATCCAATTGAGGTTGCCATATACCTGGCGTTCTTAGAAAATTTCCCCCGACACCATTCTTATCCGTCTTGTTCTCCTTTTCTTCTACATTCACACATTGTCCAAATGCCACACTCATTTCGCGCACCCGTGAACATTGTTACTGGCAGACCATATGTGGAATATTGAGTTCATAACATACCATCCCACAGTTCACATTTGTCGTTGCAGCTGTTGTATTGAACTTGTGATTAAGCTTACGTGATCTTTGTTAATTGCACGCCTCGCATTTTTGTGCGTAAATCTCCAAAAGTAATGACTAGAAAGACCGTGGCCAAAAGAAGGCGCAAAAGGAAAAGAATAATTAAACAGCAAACCGGGACGTTCATATTTTTGTACAACAGTGAAATGCGGGTAAACTCAGGCGAAGACAAAAGTGCACATAAGCTTCGGTTCTCATCATTAGAAGCTTTTCATTAACAGATTGGGAAAACTTATTTTTGATGATGACATACATATATGTACTTACCGTAGGCAATTCTATTCATTTTATGGAGGAAAGGTGAACAGTGACTGCGTCTCATTGGTGTAAACGATTTCCCTTGTGATTCTATCCTGCATTCTTGTACAGGTTGAAGAAAACAATGAAGAGGCACTTCCAACTCTTCATGAAACTTGTCTACTGCCAGGGGCGTCATTTTCAGGATCAACTGTAAGAGATAGAAGTTCCACAAGCTCCAGCCTGTATTCAAGGCCTCTCAGATGGTGCCCTAACAACATGCACCTAGAGAAGCAAAGTGAAGGATGAGAATAGCTAGCATTGTTGTCAGTTTTAACAATTGAACAGGCTTCACTGAGTATAAAACAGTGAAGGACAACAGTTATCTGCAATATATTTCAGAGCAAGGACAATATGATGCTCAATTTCTAGCTTCAAAGTGCATCGGATAGAAAAATGTTTCCAAACAGTTGGTCTTCCATCAAGTGCCATAATATGACAACCTCTGGCACAGTGAAGTACAGACTCACAGCAATCAGGACTGCAGAAACTAAGATATAGATGAGCTTGAATAAAAGTGTCTGATACAACAGTACATGTGATTCTAAACGCCAGATACAGCAAGACTAGGCCAAGATCCGAATCAAGTTTATGGAAGTCCAAGCAAGAAAGAATGCCACTTCGAGAGTAAATAGGTAGAATTTGCTCAACTTGGATCAAGCTGACAAGTTAATTCTTGATTTTTCAGATATATTAAGCTCCCATAATCAGGCAAGCAATCAGGCATCTACGATTGACTAATACCCAATATAGAGCAATGGAAAAGATAAAAGGAGCTGGACTAACCAGAAGAGGAGCCGTGCTAGATAATCCCTAGTTAATGAGACGATTGGCTGGAACTGGAGTGACACATTCTCAACAAGTTCAGGATAATCATCATTGCCAGAACATACTTCTTCGTCTGACGAGTACTCTGATGAAGAAGGACCCTTTGAGTGCATTCTAGGAGACAAAGTTGCAAGAAGACCATGAACAACCGAGTGGATTGTTTCCCTCAATTCAGGCAAGGAAGGTTCTGATAGCTCAGCCACCTGTTTCCACATATTCCATTACTCCAAGTGTATACGGAAAGTAGAAAACACTTCAAGATACACTTTGAAGTAAGGATGTCGCGACATGTCCTCATCCAAACATGAAGTTCACTAGTTAAGAGTGCCATCCATTAATAGGTGCAAGCAGTACGCACACATGCAAATAAAGGAAGATAGAAAGAGAAGGGATGGCGAATTGGCAATACTTTGACACAAGATTCACAGTCATGAGTAGTGCAGGTGATGGCAATTCCAACACAAAATGAAAAATAGGTAAAAGTCATAATAAACAAAATTAGATAGGTAATCAAAATGGAAAGCCATATAACCAAGAAGATTAGATAGGTAAACGAAATGGAAAGCCATAAAGCCGTAATGCCATGCTAAGCTGACACTTTTCCAAACAGTAATGCAATAGAAGAGCACATGCTAAGTTCCAATCATTTAAGATCTATGTGCCGGATCCGGGTCGAAATGAAAGGATCAGGACTGGGATTTTGTTGCTCTGTAACAAGTATAATGAGCGGCTTTAATTAATATCAAAGCACAAATCAGTTGCACTGGAGGAAGATTGACTTGAGGACAAAACGAGAGAATTTCGTTGAGAGCTTTTCTCAATCTAACTCATTCTAGATATGTTCCTACAACTAATTTTCTCTCCTCAGCTCTCTATCATAAACACGTATGTAAAGGTCTGTCATCAAACAAGGCTCCCATTGAAAATCATTCTTTGATTTGACTGGGAATACGCAACAGGCACAAATTAAATTTCTCTGAATAATTTACTGTCAAACCAGAGAATATTCATGTGGTAAAGAAGCATTGCTACTTCATATACTTATGCTAATGCTACTTAGTAAAGTTCAGCAGCTACTTTCTATTAGGCAAATATAAGTACTTATTTGGGAAGAACTGAGTGGAGGAAGACGGTTTCCTAGTTTTTTTTTTGGGTCGAGTGATGGTTTCCTAGTTAAATTACAAATAAATGGGAATTACTCTGACAATCCTCTAGTTTCGATCAAATTACTCGAGCAGGCATTGTATTTTCACAAAAGAATAATTACACAAATGGTCCATGAACTTTGGCGAAATGTGTAATGTGGTCACTGAACTTTTAATTTGTTCAACGTGATCCTTGAACTTTTAATTTGTTCAATGTGGTCCCTGAACCTTTGGTAAATGTTCAATCTAGGTCTTAGACTATATGAAAATATCCATTGTTATTCTTCTATTAATTCAAGTTCAAGGACAACATTGAATATTTTCATATAGTCCAGGGACTAAATTGAACAAGTAGCAAAAGTTTAGGGACCGCATTGAACAAATTAAAAGTTCAAGGACCACATTGCACAGTTAGCTAAATTTCAAGGACATTTGCGTCATTTTCCCGTTCACAAATTAGTCTAACATCCCTCCTATTTTGCTCAAATTGCTTGCTCACCCCATATAATATCATAAACTATTCTAAACTCTTTGTATCAAAAACAACTTTGTGACCTTATTAATAGGTACTTAAAATAAAACAATTACATAGCTGACGTGGCATATTTTGCTATTTTCTAGGATCTTAAAATTATTAAACTAATATATATACCTATTTAAATAGCTTTTAACATTTTTACTGTTTTATTTCAGGTACCTCCTGGTAGGGCATCGCAGTAGTTTTTCAAATTACAAGAGGGTGTCAGAAAAATTAATGGAAATCCCATGTGTTAGAGTAGTTTGATTCAAATCCTGGAGAGGGGGAAGGGGTGTTTGAGTGAAAATACAATGGTCACTCCAAGTAATTTGATGGATGGTAAATCACCCATAATAAATACTGGACAGTCAATTGTAAAGCCACTGTTAACTACAGAAGCCAAACACAGAAAAAAGAAAACAAGCGTGCGCACACACATGTATAGTAATATCCATATGCAGATAGTAGCCTTCGGAAAGAATCTAATTCTAGCATGATGAAACCTTTTCCGGTTCTAGTGATCTCAAGTAGTCCAGCAAATCATTTTTTTCCTCCCCGACAAACTGTTGCATTTGGAGAGCAGCACTTTTCCTCTTGACTTCATGTAGTTCCTTCATAAAAGAAACATAGGAATGAAAATTTCTGCACCATTATTCTAATGGAACATTCAACCATGCCTCAAAGAAAAATATCTAGCCATTTCAGTGAGGACATTGGGCATAAATACTCCCAGATTAAATATGACATAAGTGGATATTTGATTGCTTTAAAAAATTAGGCACCAGTTTCACAGCAGCATTATTATGGAACATACTATTTGGCCTACACTGCTCTTTTATCACACTTCATCATCTCCTTCAGCTAACTTTATTCTCATCAAGACGAATTAAGCTTTGCCTTAGTCCAGTCAATGTCAAACTTACAACTGGATAGCTTCCAGTTTCCTAATCTGATGACTAACAGCAGCCCAAAAAATGGGGCTCCAAGATTAAAACAACATTTTGGTTTACTTTATCAGATACAAGATTAAGCATATATGCCAACATAGTCAACTGCAAGTACAAAAAGATGCAACTGTATATTATACTTTATTGACAACAAAGTTACTGATAAAAAGAATTAACATTTAAGTAGCATGAGATGGAATGCACACCTTTTTGGCAGATGATAAACGAGATTGTAAATTAAGAATATATTTCTGAGCTTCACGAGAAAGTTTGCCTAGACGTTTACTATCAATATCCTCAACTGTCTCTTCTCTAACTTTTTCATATTTGGGTGATATCGCGCTCTTTCCAGAAAAGTTGATTTTTCTAGCACTGTCTAGTAAAATTTCTGGCAAGCCACTTTGTGAGCGGTCTTCAGTCCGATTTTCAGAGCTCTGTTCATGCGTATCAAGATTCCTTTCAAGGCAAAGCTTATATTCCGCATTTCTCAGTGTATAACTGCATTCCAAGAAACATTTCCATCACAAATGCATAAGAGGAGACAAACAATATGTTACTGAAGAAAAGAAAATGGAACTCTCGGATAATTTCTTTACGTTCTCAAATGCATGGTCTAGACGTAGTCGTAACTAATGGAGCATACAAGTAGAGAAAAACAGAATCTTGTTTTTAGAGCGAAATTTATATAGTTAATTCAAGAGAATTGAGTTTTACTAGTTTTTCACCTGAGGGAACTTATACGATTACAAAGACATAAACTCTTGATGCCTATGCATATTATACAAGATAAGCATACCCTGTCATCATTGAAGAAACCAACAACTTCGAGAGTGGCTCCCACAAAGCTTCAATATATACTTGAAACTGATTCGACGGAAGCAACCCCAACATTCCTGATATCGTCCTCTTCATCGCGTCAATAGTAGTTGGGGCCACGTCTTTCTGAATAAGGCTCACGTCTAGCGGTTCTATCTCTTGTATCAAAGCGAAGAGAACCGATTTCTGGAAAGAGCATAATCCCAACAGCTTAGCATCAACTTCGGCAGCAAGATGAGAGTTGAAACATGCAATTCTAAAAAGCGCGTTTGACAATCGAAACAGAAACATCTTCAGAAAATGGATGTCCCGAGCCGCCAAATGAATCTCGCCAAGGCAAAAGCTTCCACTCTCGAATGCTCAGAACTACAACTCGGTAGCAACTAGACAAAATTTACCCTTCATCAATCATAACTTTTTCTCTCGCTCCCTTCACTCCCTTAATTGCTCCTGAGATAGAATAAATTCAATTTCTAATAATTCATGTGGTTTAGTTCCAGCCATTACACTCTCAATTGCAAAAGGCAATCGCTTGTAGTCTCCAACTCAATCTTTACATCTCATGCCACGGACACCATCACCAAACAAAACTTCCATTTTCTTCTGTAATCTATTCGCGCCTCACACTAAAGCGGCTCACGAGGACAAAAAATTTCCTAATTCCCAACGAAGAACACCGAGGTTTTAAAAAACATCACACAACAAAACAAGCTCCAACATTTTGGCAATATCATCGACAGCGCATCACAACCGAAAACGACCCACTTCCGAGGCGAATTGCCCCCCGGTCAATCGAACGGAATCAGACACCAACCTGAGGCGAATCGACCGACGGACGATCATCCCGGGGGCCGGGATCATCGGCCGACGCGCCGTCCGCCGACGAGGAGGCGGCGATCGAGGCCCGGCCCTTCCCGGGGCTTACTACGGAGATGCGAACGGGAGGAACGGCGAAGGAGAGAGAGTCAACGCCGCGGTGGCAGTTGAGACGGTGGCGGCGGACCAGGTGGTGGCGGTGGTGGTGGTGGAGGCGAGGGAGGGAGGGAGAAGAGGAGAGGAAGGAGGCCAGGGTTGCCATTGCCGCCGCGAGCAACACCGACGACGACTGCCCCCCAACCACCGTCGCCTTCTCTCTCTCTTCTTCACGACTCGGGGGGCGGCTGGAGCTGTCGGCCAACTGCAGCCACAATCGGCGGAGGAGACGACAAAAAGCGGAGGCGGGGGGGAAAGGCCGACGCTGACCGCGAGCTTCGCGGGGGTGTCCAAAATCTCGGACGGGCCCGTCGGCTTCTTGGGCTTCGATTCTACCGTATGTTGTCATTTTACTATACTCGAACTCAAAGAAATTGCATCCTAATAGTAAATGTCATAATCGGGGTCGTCCTCGCCATCGGCATCGCCGTCAACTGGTTAAGCTAAGTCTAAAGCGAGTGGTGGTTGGTTGTAGGGCCGAGCAACCCGATATTTTCACTGAGAGATCGATCCGGTTCCCGATTCTAAAAGCTAGGGACAATTCTTGACCGGGATTTGATTCCCGTGTTCTATATCCCGAATTGGTCTGTTGTATCTAAAGAACTTGGAACCCGAAACTTGTGAGGCCGGTTTCCAAGTCAATCGGTTTTTGGATCGATTTACTCCTAAGCTTGAGTAGGCCGTTTTACTCTTTTGTTTTGTAAAGGAAAAAAGTATCTTCTGATATTAAATACGCTCGACATATTGTTGTTAAGCATAAATAATTGCATTCATGTTTCGCACATGCATAGTGCCCTGGCTCGTTTGGTTCCAAGCCGATTGTGGTATCAATAGGGTCGGTTCCCAATTCGAAAAATCGGAAACAAGATAGGTACCGGGGTTCCAGGTTCGAAACCTACCTGCCCTGGAACCGATTGCGCGCGATGTCACACAATTATGGCAACCTGCACACTTCTCAGGAAGGAATTAAATGCAATACCGGGCCCGATACACTTGGGTCGGGCTCCGTTTTCGACGAAGCCCGGCCCGGAAGGCCCGCTTAAGCCGAGGCCCTTCGCTTTCGTGTTGTGTTTTTTGTCCCTTTAGAGCCCCTGAGAAGTTGAGTGCAGGATACGGTGAGAGTGAGAGGGAGAGGGAGAGGGAGGGGGAGAGAGATCTTCTCCCCGCTTTTTCCTGCCGCCGGTGCAATCGGCCACCGCCCTTTTCCTCTTCATCTCCGCCCTCTCTCTCTCTCTCTCTCGTGGGCTCATCGGGCTCGCTGCATGTATGTCTGTACTGGGTCGCTGTTGTATGAATTGTAATGATTCTGTACTGTATCATTTGGTTTTGATTAGGGAGGGGAGCGGCTTCTTCAGGTGCCCCGCAAGAGGTGAGCGCTTCTTCTGCCCCCCACCCACGTGTTCGTTTTCGTGTTCCGTTCCTCCTTTTGTTGTGCAAATGATGGGATGTGTCGGTCGTGGTTTCTTGCTCGGTATTACGGCGAGAGCTAACCTCACCTGTGCTGGTTGCTTGGAAACGGCACGGGGCATGACGTTCGGACTAGGGAATCGAATTGGGTCGGCGTCATTTTCGGTTTTCGATTATCCTAGTCGGTGCTGGACGGGACTTCGAATTCGTAAAATTTGTTTGGGATGGCAGGCGTTCTTGGTGGGTTCTGAGTGCTGGAGGGTGCTTTTTTAAGAAAGTATTAATGGGGATGTTCTTGGATAGAAGTTGTTGGGTTTTTAGCACGTGCGGTTCTGTAATGCTTGAAGCTTCCTTGACGGGATTTCGTATCATTTGATGTTTTCTTGTTAGACTTGTGTTTGAACTATGCTGACCGTTTTGCCACATATAGAAGTTTCTGACAAGTTGAATGCCTATTGGGTTTTTTGGGACTGGATGCTCAATATCTGTACTCTCTTTCTACTGAGTACCATGCATGTCAATGTGCATTGCTTATTGATAGTTATTTTCATCATGAACAACAATGACAACATATAACCTTTTCCTCGGTGGGCCACTTAAACCTTTTTGTGAGTGGGTTGGAGCCTGTTTTGTTTAGCTGCGGTTGAACTGTAGTCGTGCTATAGCTGTCACGGTTGTGTCTGGTACCATCTTAAGACTAGGTGAGACAATCTCCTGAAAGATGTTTAGCTATGGTGCTATAGCTATAACATTAGCTTTTCATAGTACCTCATAGCAATGTATCGGTATGGCATTTATTTGAAGATGCCATTGTCACCGATTTCAATTGCAATTGCCATTGCTGTTGCTTCACTTTCCTTGTTTCTCTCTTACTGAATCAATACTAATGTCATAAATAGAAGAGTGTGCCAAACAAGAAACCAATCTTTATCTTACTAAGTTGGGTTGGCCGTATGAATCCTATCATGCTCAATCCTCTATTAGATTCTCGGATGCTCCATAGCTTTCCTTATAATCTTCTTCCACGTTCTTCTAGGTCTTTCCTTGCCCCTTTTAACTCGCGTATCCGTCCCTTGATCACTTATCCTCATTGGAGCATTTGAATTTCGTCATTTCATGTAGGGTTGAGCACTGGTCCCGGTTCAACCCCGAACCAGACCGAACCGGCTTGGATCAACCGGTTCAAGGACAGTTCTAGAGAGAACCGGTTCAGTTCCTGATTCCAAAAATCTAGAACTGGCCATAAATGGTTCAATTCCCGGTTCTAAGGCCAGCACCACCTGTTCTACCGTGCTAGAGTCGGTTTTTTACCCAAAACACAAGTATTAACACACTCACGGAGAACAGTGACAAACATCCTTCATAATGGCTAAGCTGGAGGAGAAGCTATTCGAGGAGGAGTGCTGGGCAGATCGACGACCTTTCCCAAATGCTCTGCTCCCTCGTCAGCTTCCCCGCCTGTGCTCAGTCCCTCTACAAGCGCCTCACCATTACGTCGCCGTCGAGGACTCTAGGCCCTTGGAGCTATCCAAGCAAGTCCTAGCCCTAGCTCGCAATTGGAAGCACCAGAACATCCTCCTCCACTTTGTCACTATACTAGTGCCATCGATTTCAGGAAAATAGTGAATCTCCTTGACGGCGACGCGTCCATTGGGGACCTGAACCCAAATCACTCTTCAGCTTTTAGGGCGGGAGGTAAAAGCAACTTTGCCCATGTCTTTCTCCCCCTCTTTCTCTTTCGTTGTTGTTTTCTTTTACTTCCTGCTAAAAAGATTTCAATACACAATCCCTCAACCTTTAGGAAAAGGTGATTTCTTTTCTTTATTGGCTTCTCATTTTTTTCTTTTGGTCATTTATTGGCGTCTCATTTAAAATGAGACAAAAGGTTCTCTTTTTTTTAATAAAAAAGCACTCTTGTTTGGACCTAGACAAAAGGTCCATGCACATTCCCATTTGCTTTGCACATTTTTCAGATCCGTGCTTTGGACTGGGTAGAACCAGGAACCAAAACTGATAGGTGCAGTTGCCGATTTCAAAATTTTGGAATAGGGAGTCATAGGGTTGTTTCCTGGTTCCAGGTCTGGAACCGCCCCGCCTTGGAGCCGATCATCCTTAATTCTATGCGACCAAACCATCTCAATTCTCACATTAATTTCTCTCATCTTATTATTGATTTTAGCCATAACTATTTGTGTTTTAATCTCTCGGATAGATTCATTTCTCATCTTGTTTTTCCTCACATGCCCTTACATCCAACTAAGCATTCTTGTCTATGCCACACTCATTGTGTGCGGATTTTTATGTTTAACTACCCATAACTCCATGCTATAAGGCAGCCTTATTGCCATTATCTAGAGTTCACCTTTACACTTAACTGACATTTGACTATCGCACAAAATAACAGGCACATTTCTCCACTTTAGCCATCCCATCTGAACTCTGTTGGGGAGATCTCTATCGATCTCTCCTTCTTTGGGTACAAGTTTCGCCAAGGTGCGTTTGAACCTCTATCATTATTGAACGTACACCAAAACATCAGAAATCGGAGAGTGATCACGTGAAGTTGGTTTATTTATTTAGGAAAACTAAGAAAATCATTGAAGGGAGAACAACCTTATAGTAAGTTGTTGAGAACTACATGTACATGATATTACCTAAGCTTTGCAAGTTTAATGGCACAAGTGTGAAATTCACCCTCTTCATAAGAATCTTATTTGAGATTTTCTTGCCAAACTATCCTATATTATCTATGGTATAACGCCATCAAGTTTTTAATATTGTTTTCCCATGAAAATCATTATCATAGAAGCTGTTTAATCCTGTAGATGAGGTAACTGAAAGTTTACTTTCATGAATCTTTTTAAGTTAGTAGATTGCGTTATCTTTTACAAACTGCTGACGAGACAAAACTTTGTCCTTACAAGAACATATAATCCTTGGGTGCCTGTTTGTCCTTGTTGATAATGGGTGACTTCTCCTTCTATTGATTACTGGTCTCCTCTCCTTTTGCCAGGTTTCTGGAGGGCAGGTAGGCGGCATCGTTGCATTCTTTTTGGCAAGATTTGCAGACTCATTCTGCATAGTTTCCTGGGAAAAATTTGTTGTATTTGTTCTTGAGGCTGCTCTATATAGTAGATGAGTGAAGTTATCGAAATTAAATTGCTTGAAGCATCCAATAAAGCTGTCTTTTAGTGAGTTTTATTAAGTGGGCATCCCCAATCTGCCTAATAAGCATCAATTACATGGTGGATTGATCCTTGATTATGGCTGAGGATAAGCAGATGGAGTATTTTTCTGCACAACAGATTACAAAGAGTAGTAAAGCTTATGGACTTGAGGAGAGTATCCTGGAAAAGAGACAGGGCATTGTTTCAGAAGGTTTGCAGGTTGGGCTTGTGGATATGGGGAGTCATCCTTGCTCAGACATTGTGGATGATGAAGCGTATATATCTAAGTCTTTTGAAATGAAGAGGTTGGGAATGCCTTCTGAAGATCCATCCCAGGTGAAGAATCTTGCAATATCTCCTGAAAATGTGATAGATAATACAAAGAACACTGAAATTGCAAGAGCTGGAGAAGATATTGGCGAAAGCATTCATAAGTTTGATTCAGAATGTATAGATGGTGCACATTCACTTCAAGAAAATAGGTGTCAACTTGGTGTTGAAGGAACTACAATGATGCCTTCTTGCCATGCCTTCTCTGAGAGTCTGGTGAATAAGGAAGATACTTATGGAACGACACACCAGTTTGGTTCTGGATATTCAGTTGGTCAAGAAGAAAGAAGACACATACCTGGAATAAAAGAAACTAGTAGTCCATTGTGCAGTCATATTACTGAGCAATTGCATGAACCTTTTTATGAGAATTCAACTTTTGGATACAGGATGCTGTCTTCTCCAAACGTAAGAATGAGCGATGAAGCTGGAAGTGGTCTGTGCCTTAAACATCTTGAATCACATGAGACCCATTGTGGATCTGGTAGTGTAAGCAACCAATTACCTGGCCCTGACCATGTTGAAAATGTATCAGTTCAAGTGAGTACTATCATGTCTGATAGAATTGAAACTGAAAGTACTGGATTACGATATAATATGGAACTGACCAATGGCTCTAGTTATGATCCATCGGGGTTGCAACAGGAGAATCTTACAGGGAACTCCAAAGGGTCAGACCATAGGGAGAGAAGAACTTCGAAGAGATTGGAAAAAAAATACACATTGAGGTTGTCACTTGGCAGCGACAGAGTTCTTCGCTCGAGATCAAAGGATAAGTCTACAGCTGAGTCTAATGACGAAGTATCGAACCCATATACTGGTGAAGAAGTAGAAAGAAGGCAGAGGAAGAAGAGGCAAGCAAGGAAAGCTATTGCTGACGAATTTTCTAGAATTAGGAATAACCTAAGCTACATGTTAACCAGAATTAGCTATGAGAGAAGCTTGATTGATGCTTATTCTGGTGAAGGGTGGAAAGGGCTAAGGTATGTGGTTGTCAGATTGCTTCATAAAAATCTATTCTGCTGATTATGTGCTGCAACATGTCATTATTGATGAACTTGATACCAGGTGACAAGGGTACGTATAATGAACTAATAGCCTGCTTGGTTGTAGAAACGAGATAAGGTAGTAATGTAATGGTTATTACGTAGTTTGGTTTAGTTATTACCGTGACACTATTTAATTTCATGAATAACATATGTAATAAGTAAAGAATAGCATCAAATTACCCAAAGTACCCCTGAAGTCAGAAGTAGATGGAATTATAGTGAATATCACTTTATTTGCAGATAATGACCACCAGGGGAATTTTGTCATTGGCACCATCAAAATCCACATGCATATTGATTACTATGATTTTGTCTTTCTCGTATGAATGAAACCTATGTTGCTCAATATGGGAGAAGAACCTCTTCTCCACAACAACTTTGGTTACATCATCTAAACTGACCAATGTACAATTTTGATGGCACACTGCCATCAAGATACTTGTACTATTTGAAATTAATCATCTAATTTTATATAATAGAATACAAATTAAAATAATGAGATGATGGTGTTAATTTATAATACAGAATCATTTTATATACAAAATTATCCAGTTCTAGATAATTACGTATTATTAATTAAACTCACAAATAATTGAGATAGTTATTATTTTGTATAGTAATATTATATTTAGTTATGGAATTCTTGATTATCACATATAACATTCAGTTAACTAAACTATGCTATTTGTTACATTTTGAACTATATTATTGATATAATGCAGTCAAACATTTACATAATATAAAAGAAAAAGAAACGTATTTGTTTCACTAGATAATTTATGTTATAATTGTGATGTGTCGCCATACCTGTGTCTTTAATTCTGGATCCTTTTAAGTGAGTCCTCAAGTCTATCGTTATCTGAAATGGTGAGTTAGAACACTACCCAATTCCACTTTCAAGTCAAGGTGACATAGGTTGTTAAGTGGCATAATTAAGTCTGGGCATTATGCCTATGAATGATCTATAGCTACTAGGGAATGTTCTCTTTTCTGGTTCTCCTTGTCCAGCCTAGAGGTTTAACATGATGGGTTGCTTGGCTAAATGAATCTTGGGCAATAGATTGTCATGTCAGTAAAAAAAATCCAAACACTAGCCTTGAGCTTCTGAAGGTACCTCAATGGACAAGGTTCTGGCAAGTTGGATGCATTTTACGTATAGGGCTGACAATATGCTAGCAGTGCTTCATGTTGAGAATGTATTTCAGTTCCTTCTGAAGACTTGGTATTTCAGCAGGGGTGTCTGCATAGGGTTATGGTTGTTGATCACTAGAAACTTGTCATTTTTTCTTAGAATAGGGAAATGGAAGCTTTGAGACTAGTTCACATATCTAAACATTACTAAAATCACTCAAACTAAAAGATTTTTGCAAGTAATTTAAAAAAAAATTTACAATAGATTAGATGGTGTTAATAGGTCTTGTAAATTATGATTTGCATTCTGGATAGTCATCTTTCTTAACATCTTATTTCAGTTTATGGTTGTGTGGAGTTCCACTTATTTTTGACCTAATAAATAAAACCAGCAAAGTTCAGAAATCGGTGAACTTCAATCGATTTTGTTGTGGTAACCTTTCTTTGATTGGTCTGACAATGACTAGCCTTTGAGTTTACATCTGCTCTTCATTATGACTGTTTGAAGGCCTAGATAAAAATTTTAGTTGTAGCTGCTTATTGCTAATGTTATTTGGCAGCTTGGAAAAGATAAAGCCGGAGAAGGAACTTCAGCGGGCCACATCAGAAATTGTAAAACGCAAGTTGAGAATAAGGGATCTATTTCAGCGGCTTGATTCATTATGTGCAGAAGGAAAGCTCCCAGAAGCTCTATTTGATTCAGAAGGAATGATTGACAGTGAGGATGTACGGAAGAAGCTTGATTAAAATGGCTTTTGTGCTATATTTAAAATGGGCCCCATTAATAAGTGCCTCTAGGCACTTGCTAAGTATACTTAATTTGGAGTTTTTCAATTTTTCGAGTATTGATTGTCCATAACATGAGGAAATTAGTGCGTTGAAAATTGCAAAGGTTCCTTAACTGGTTCCTTAACAAGTGTCTGTAGGGAATTCGTGAAAACATCTATGAAAAATTTATCAAGTGTTGTTTCACTTCATTAACAGTAATTTGGGTAATGCTATAACCTGGGATGGTTTCCTGGCAGATATTCTGTGCAAAGTGTGGCTCGAAAGATTTGACTGCTGACAACGATATAATTCTGTGCGATGGTGCTTGTGATCGTGGGTTCCATCAATACTGTCTGGAACCACCGTTGCATGAAGAAGACAGTAATTTCCTTTCAATAAGCTAGTTATTATTTGTTGATAATCGACATCTTATTTCATACCTAATAGTTTGCTTATTGCACAGTTCCTCCTGCCGACCAGGGTTGGCTATGCCCTGGGTGTGATTGTAAAGTTGATTGCATGGACTTGCTGAACAAATCACAAGGAACAAATCTTTCTATTGCTGACAGCTGGGAGGTCAGAACTGGAAACTTTGTTCGTTCCGTTTGCCGTTCTAACTAGTTCTCACTGTTCCACAATGCTTTGCTTCCCTTACCATTCTCCTTCACAATGCAGAAAGTTTTTCCTGAGGTTGCAGCAGCTGAAAATGCTGAGGACCCAAACTTAGGTCTCCCTTCTGATGACTCGGACGATGCTGATTTTGACCCAGATGCGCCTCAGGTTGATGAAGATCAGGGAGATGAATCTGGTTCTGATGAATCTGGTTCTGATATGTCTGGATGGAATATTGCATCTGTTAGATTGGGGGCTCCTTTAAAAGACGATTGCGTGGGTCTGCCTTCTGATGATTCAGAAGATGATGATTTTGATCCTGATGCTTCGGACCGTGAGAAGGTTAAGGAGGAAAGTTCTAGTTCTGATTTTACCTCTGATTCTGAGGATCTTGCAGCCGCCGTAGGAGGTGTAGTCGATGAGGTTAATTCCCACAGAGGTGGTGCTAGTAGAAGCTCTGGAAACAATTTTGAAAAGAAGGATATTGTGAAGGGTGAACTGCAATCTTTGCTGGGGGGAGATGCTGACAAAGATGTCTCCATCTGTATGCCTGGGAAAAGACATGTTGAGAGGCTGGACTACAAAAAGCTCTATCATGTGAGTCTTTGCTGTTGCAGTATAATGATTCTTGAATTTACAATTACCATCTTTCCAGGATGAACTAATTCATGGGCAAAGTAAGGTGGTTGCTAGTGCAAGTGCGGTATGTTTGAGTAAAGTACTCTCTGTAAGCTTGTCTGCATGGAGCATTCTGATCCACAGAACCACAATAGTAGAATTAGTCTCTTTGGGGATTTAATTCTTTTTCTTTGGGGTTCCATTGGGATATATCAACAAAATATCTATGCTCACCAAGTAATTTTGGGACATCGCTGGATCTGTCCATATGATTCATTTGGAAGATGATAGCATTTTGTTCTTCTGCATTTTCTAATGCTCGTTTATTGAATAATAGTCCTGAGAGTAGAAGCAGAATGACAAGGCAATATAGTTTCTCTTCCTTCCCTCCCTTTATTATGCTAGGAAGTGGTTAATTGCCAGGAGTGGGCCAGGGGAATGGCAAGAAAATTGAAGATTATACTTGAGTACTAGAGGGTGGAAGATGACATTGTTGAAGACCATTGACCCATTTAACTAAAAGGCAGCTAGTTTAAGCGTTCTCTTTTTTATCTTGTTCTACAAGTGAATCACTGCTTAAGGAGTTGCAAATGTCTGACATTCAGATGCTTTGATCTGGGCATGGGGCTGATCTAAATTCTTGACCTCTTGACAATATCATGTCATGTGATTAATTCAAAGGCTGGAGATAATAAACTGAAATCACAAGTTTGACATTTTCAATGATTTAGTAATATCAAATGTGCACATTTACTCGAAAATAAAAAATACGTAGTGGATATTGAATTTTCAGCCAACCCCTCTCTATTGAGGCATGTGTAGTCTCTGCAGTCCTTTTACTGTTCATATTCATATTAATACCTCCTCTGTTCATCTTATGTTGGAAATCATAGAAGTCTTAATTGATGTGGTAAGTACTAAGGTGGTTGTGCTGGATAGTTCCAATAGAAACCTGAAGGAAACCAAAAGATTATGGATAAAAGGAGTATTAACGTATCAAACGAGGTCTAAATTATTATTGTGTAGTAAGTGTCCTTTAAGTACCCTGCATCGAGTTCTATCATTTTCCTCTCACTAATAGTACTGTTATGTGTCTTTGCACACTGGAGATAGGTTGATCTTACCATGCACGAGATGAATGCTGAGTTGGACATTCTGAGGGTGCGGATGCATTTAGAGAGGACCACCCTCCTCTTTCTTTTTTATTTTTTTGATTGTATTTTCATAATATGCGCTTTTGTTTTTGGTGAATAATTAGATTGCATTATGAATTTTAGCTGTCAAGAAGTAGTTGTTTAACTTGTAACTTATATTCTATTTCATGTTTACAGTTGCATTGTCTACACTATTTTAATCACGCATGGGACTTACTAAAAGTAATTGATCATTTTTAGTAATTTGGAAATGTTCTTTATATTGGTTGTGGGTGCTGCACTTATTTCTTCATATATCAAGGAGGAGAAAGGTGGAAGCTATTGAAGTGATATTTTAAAAGACGAAACTGTTAAAAACTGGTTGAATATACAAAAGGTTTATAAGATTTATCTGTTTTTTATGTGTAAAACAGGAAACAGTTTCAAGGACACATCCCTTTAAGGTCTTTCTTATTATTGCTTTCATTTTTGTATTTTCATCATTGACTTTATTTCTTTTCATGTGTTATACCCAAAGGAGGAATTCGGAGATAAATCTTCCGATTTAAGTGATGATGAAGATTGGAGTGATCCAAATGATGATGAAGATTGGAGTGATCCAAGTGATGATGAAGATTGGAGTGATACTGTTGCACCAAGAAAAAGGAAGAGAGGTGCTGATAAAGCTGCTTCAGCATCAAACAATGGGAATTTTACCAGTGGAGAGAATATAAAGCACAACGAAAATGAGACTGAGGAATTTGGAGATAAATCTTCCGATCCAAGTGATAATGAAGATTGGAGTGATACTGTTGCACCAAGGAAAAGGAAGAGAGATGCTGATAAAGCTGCTTCAGGATCAAACAATGGAAAGTTTACCAGTGGAGAGAATATAAAGCAGAACAAAAATGAGACTGAACTGACTCCAAGGAGGAGGACAAGTAACAGGATGGATTCCCCAAGTACTATTAGTATTACAGCCACAGCACATAAAAGCTCTTCAACACCTAGATCGACTGGTGGAAGAGCTCGATCAACTTATAGAAGACTTGGAGAAGCTGTAACTCAGGTGATCAAGCACTGCTCATTTATTTCTCTCAGGATATAACAAAATCTCTCTCTCTCTCTCTCTCTAGTGAAGTAGGATGCAAGATGATTGAAAAGATGAATATTACATCTGGATAGCGAACATTGATGCCAATCCTGAAGCAGTTTAATTCAAATGCGTATATACTTCTGCAAAATGTCGGATGGTGTTTACTGTGACGGAGTAGCGGGTTATGTAATCACAGGTTTTAGACAGAGGGTTGTTGGACAAGCCTCTTTATGTTGTGAGTTTGAACACCTGGAGAAGCTTGGATAAGCTAATAACTTGAGCCAACCCAAAGTGCTTCCAATCCATTCACCTATGACTTGACTCAAATCTAGTGTTCTCATTGTCGCTTCAGGATGTACATGCTTTGCATGTTTGACTGTCTTAGCTTTGGTGAAATTATCCAATTTATTCTTCCCAGTTATTATGATGGTTTGACGCATTCATGTTCCTTTCTCCCCCGTACTCCTTCCAATACTGTATGATCCAAATTGCAGTTTTGGTTTAGTGGCTACTTCATATTTCACGATCTCTGTGTCACTTCTTTAAGAAGAGTCTAGCTCATGGGTCAGCACTTTTGCAATTGAAAGAGTTTTGATCTGATTTCAGGGATTGCACTTGTACCTTGATTCTTATGGATGTTGACTCTGAGGAAGAGGGAAAGTAATACACTTTTCCTGCTCAGTTTTCCTTTCAATATCATTACTGCCCTGAAGTTTATTTTGTTTCATATATCCTCCATTCTGACACATTTTTTATTGTTACACACACAAGCACATGACACATTGGTGCCGAAATGGTGCGAAGGTTCCAATGTTTTATACCAAATCTGAGAAAGGTGATAACCCTCACTCTTCCCACAATTGTCCTGCTTAGCAGGGCCTTTGGGAAATTGATACAGCTTTTGAAAAAGTAGGGGATAAAGTAGGACAAAATACATTTTAGGCAACAAAGTGATCCGGGTGTTGTAAAATACCTTAGGAGACAGTGCAATGCGAGGAATAAATTTCTGATTGGAAAATCGTTTTTTGGCAGAGACTCCATGAAGCCTTCAAGGAAAATCAATATCCAGAACGAGCTGTGTCAGAGAAGTTAGCAGAGGAGCTAGGAATTACTCATCGGCAGGTAAGCCTCTCTTTTACTCGCAATATTGAATTCTTTTTGTTTCCTTTTAAGTTTTGGCCACTAAACTCGTCTAAAGTTCCTTCTGCCTATGGATTTGGTTGTAGGTGAGGAAGTGGTTCGAGAATGCTCGTTGGAGCTTTAACCACCCAAGTGGTACGAAAGTGAGAGTGTCTGCTAAAGATATAAATATGGAGAGCCCCATGCCTCAACCCACTACTGGACCGCGTGGCTCAGCTCCGGAAATGATTGCGGATGATGCCCCTAGTAATGGAATACCAAATGCGGAACCTAGTGGAGTTGCTTCCATGACGGAGTGCATTGACAAGGATGTGAAGGACAGGGAAGTGGGAAGTCCAGAGACATTTAGGAAAAGCTACAACAGTTCAGATCTTGGGAAGAGACAGGAAAAGGCAGATAACGTGGTCTCAGGTTCGGATCAAGTAAATCGAGCACGGGCCATTGGAGATGATTTGGCTAAAGCTTCAGAGCCTCAGACAAGCAGCAGAAGACAGACCAGAAGCAAATCAAAGGCTTGACAAATTTCTAACTTTTTGAGCAAAGAGTTCTTCCGGTTGAAATGCTGGGAAAGATGCCCTGTTCAAGAATCCTGCGTGGAAAGATGACTTTTTCCATCAGGGTAATTCAAACTGTCTCTTGGTTTTCCAGTTCAGGATTCGGAATAGCTACTTCAGTCACCATTAATCGTTGTCTCGGGAGTTCTTAAGGTTTTCTAATCCTCAATCCTTTGACAGTCATTGTCTGAGCTGCTGATCTTCATTGTTGCAATGCTTTGTTCAATGGGTGGATAAAGCAAGATCGCGGCCAACTGACGTTTTCTTTGAGGATCTTATCGGTTCAATTACCCCATTGTAGGCGCCCGCTTGTTTCTTGGTGAGAAAATAAAATTCAATAGGTGGACACCACCACATACCAAAGAGTCTTGGACCGAGAAGAATCCGTCCTCGACGATGAGCTTGTAACATAGTGATGCCGCCTAACATTACATTGTACTCTCCATGGACCACCTACGAATTTTACATCTATTGCATTCAATTTATGCCGTTTTACCATTCTTTGGCTAGAATTACTACCTTAAGTAAGCTCATAAGATTGGACGAGTCGATGATTCTTGTCATGTACTGTTTATTTCTGCGATTTTCGATAGGGCACTAGTTAGATTTTACTCTCTGAATCCCGTCCAAAGAATTAAAACAGGATGAGAAAAATCCAACTTGCCCGTCATCTCTGAGGAAAGCTTATACGAACTGTAGACAAATGAAACGTTCGATAAAGTGACAAAACATCAGAATGAAATGAGCTAAAGATGCTGAAACACCAAAGAGTACCCTGATTAGGCATGCCTTGAAGATCGTGATGCTGAAAAAAAGAAAATCATCTTTGAAATCGGACTTCGTAAACTTTATGTAAGGAATCTGACTTTCACGTTTATGGAACTTGTTGAAATAACTTCCAACTCTACTTGTAACTATAACACTGAAATTAATCAATATATCTGGAAGGACGCATGTTTGAGATTAGAAACTCATAAAAATTTGGGGTAGATCAAAACCTGGGGGGTGTTGTGATGTCTCCAGCTCTTATGCAACACATTGAGAGTTCTCGTAATCTGATGTGGATAAGTTCCAAAAAACATTGATAAACTAGTTTGTTTGTCCAATTTTTTTTAAATTAATTTTAGATTTTTTGGTTTTTCTTTGCTTATTTTCAAAATTTGACTTTTTCTCGATATGACATTAAGTTGGCACCATGTATGCAAAAGGATATGAAAAATGCCACGCCAAATTCTGGGGTGGCAAGTCAAAAAATTTGGCTGCGAACTAGATGGAAGGACTAAATTGCACCCAATTAATGACGTTTAGGACTTTATTGCATGCCAGGCCAAACGTTTAAGATTATTTGTGCATTTTCCCCTTTTCTAAATAGACAAATACTCAATATTATTATGAGTTCAACATTTATGGCTTCAATCACTGGGTTTGCCCCAGTGGCTACCCTTCCTACTTGGCAAGGGGGAGATGGGGAGTTCGATTCCTCTCCTTCTTAAGAGGGTTAGGGGTGAGGACGTGTAGTTTTAGATGTGGGTTTTGACTCTCACGCCTGCAAGAGGTAAGGAAAAAATCTGAGAGTGAGTTAAGAGTTAGAGTTGGACAGACCAAAAAACATTTATGGTTTTAAGCACAACATAACAACTAACAACGTATAGAAACTATGTGTTCGATTTGGGTTATGATCTTGTTGATTTATCTTGGGTGTAGGCTGAAATTTTTCCTAATCGATAATGAAAGTATCTCCAGAGCAAACTGAAAATGTACCATGAACACATAGTAGTCAAATAAAATTGAGAAATTGAACAATTCAACTCAAACTCAACTTATGTTTTCAGAAATCTTAACTCGAGCCCAAGTCAAACCAATGAAATTTATAGGCCTAAGTAAACCAATACTTTAATATCAAGCCTATTTATTAATAAAAAATTTAATATTCATAGAAAACCACCGAAAGATAATATATATGATTAGAAACACCATTTACTCAAACTAATCATTTACAATCGATTACCTGCCACTATGTACTTGGGTTTTTGCCAATTAATATTTTATAATTAATAAATAAAGGCTCTATGCCAAACATTCTAACATCCATACGGAGAGATAGGATTAGTTTTAAATCTACACTTCGAGGATATAACATCACCTTATCAATTGTACTAGCCCTTTAATTATTGAGAACTATGTAAACTACTAGCAAGAGTGGTCATAATGTGTAATTCAGTCGACGCACGACATCTAAAACAATTGTTACTAATGTAGCTATATGAATTCAACTCCCCAAATTACTTGTTGTGTATGTCTTGAATTTAATTTTGGGTAGTTGACCTAAATTGAGTTTTGAAACATGAATTGAAATTTGTGGCAACTCGACTTGAGAAAAAATGGAGGTTTAATTTTGGTAGCGGAGAGCTTGGGCCATATCCCAACACTAATTGTTGGCGGGGGAGCAGCCCCATAAACATTGTTTTTATCAAGTTATTATATTTGAAGGAGAGACAAAAAATAGTCTTAAGATTTTTTAGAGTCACCTTTTATAATCCTTGAATTTACATAATGGACTTGGCTTCTCTTCTCCTCGTGTTTTTTCCCGCAATGATTTTCCAAGTAAATATGTGTATTCTTTTATCAATTTCAATTTCGTTGTAATTTCTGCATTTGTCATAACATTACTAAATAGATTTTTCCATTCATAATTCTCATAAGATTCAGGTACATTATTGGGTATGCACTACATTTATCATAGAGCAAGCCAATACATATGTACTAAAGTATATACATACGGACTATACCAAACCTTAAGTTTCAGATTTTTCTATGCCAATTTGCCAGGAATCAGGGGCAAGTCAATCTCATCACACCACTCCACAACCCTAGTCTCAAAGTATGAGCTCTTCACATCATTGGCCACGTAGCTCAGCCACACTTGCCCTCCAATCCTCCACTTCAGCACACTCCCTTCCATCTCCCTGCTCAGCCTCCACCCCACGCTCTCTCCATACTCATCTGCCGCGAATACTAGCCCTCCGGACTTCGTAAACGGCCTGTTCGCAGCTGTGTACCTCCTCCGGAACCCGTCGCCGTTTGACGGATGCCACATGGCGACCTCCTGGCCGGTGGTGCTGTCGTGCAGGACCGCGTCGAACACTGCAGCGTTGCCCTCCGAGTCCTGGTCCCACCTCCAGTTCCTCAGCTTTGCGCGCGTCGACGTCTTCCCGGTGGCCTTCGCCTCCGGCACCTTCGACTTCCCGAAGGTGCTCTTCATGATCCTCTGCGTTTCCAGCCCTCTCTCCCCGTTGCTCGTGGACCGGCCCAGGCTGAGCCCGCCCACGTACGTCGCCCCGACCTCCGGCCCGACCCAGACGCGGGCCCTGGAAGGGAAGTGCCTCTCGCCGGCGAACGCCAAGTCGTCGTTGCCGCTGCTCTCCTTACCGAACCCGAGATTCACCACGTGGAGGCGTACGTTGTCGACACGTGCATTGACCTGGATATACCCGTCACAGAACTTGACCGAATATTCCAACTGAATGACGGCCTCAAGTTGCTGGTGCGACAGCACGTACTTCAGCACTGAATCTTTCGCTTCCATGACGGGAAACTTCTTCATCTGATCGTTCGAGCGTGTGAGCTTCATGGCCGCCACTGGCGCATAGCCCTTCAAGATCCAAAGCCCGTGAGCCTCCGTCGCGTAGGAGAACGAGAGTCCCTGAACGGGCAGAGGGGTTAGGGCTTGTAATCCTACGCCCACCTCCCTCAAAATGAGCCATTTCGCCAGCATGTACCCGAGGGTGCGCATGAAGCACACCTCCGCGTCGACGCCGACCGACCACAAGAAGGTGCGAAGCACGGGCGCGTGCTTGCAGGACAGCGCTTCCAGGTTCGGGGCCAGCAGGGACTGGAAGTAGAAGGACCCGATCTCGCTCGGCACGTCGAACGAGCAAGCCCAGAACATGCGCGTGAGGAACACCAGGTTGAAGAAGCTCGACAGGGATTCGGGCGAGTGGGAGTCCATGATCCAGGAGACCGGATCGGGACGGAGCTTCTGGAGCTGGGAGCGCGGGCACGAGCTCTCACGCGTGGTCGGCGACCGCGAGATCGTCTCTTGGAGAAGCTGGAGCAGCAGCGGGAGGAACGGCTTGTCCGAGGAGAGAGGACACGCGTCAGAGACCCAGAGGGTCCTCTCCTCGCTAGATTCTTGGAAGTTGCAAGCACGGACTGCGAAGGTCACCGATGGTTCCGAACCGGGTCTCAAGGTCCGGTCTGCCTGAATCCGGATCGACCCAGGCGCTCCCCCGCGACCTGTCTTGGAACTCGCGAGTTCGAAGACCTGCGGCGAGCCCGAGCCCGGCTCGGTCCACGTGGCCGACTCGGGCAACGCGCAAATCCACGACCAAACGTCCAACATCTTTGCTAACCGATTCCACCGCTCCGAGCCGAGTCGAGTGCAGAGAAGATTTAAGGGTATTCGGCGAGGGATTTATGGAGAGAACGAGTGATGACCGAGCTGCCAACATGGAAGCAACACGAGCCACGCAAAAGAGAGCGAGTGAACTGGCGGTGGTGAGGGAGGTTTGGTGTTAGATTTCGAGTCTTTCAGATTACACTGCATTAAGTGCTGCAGATTTTCTCTCTTGTTTCTCTTCTTTTCAGCTTCATTCCTTCGATCCAATGTTGCTTTCGCCATCGGACCGGAACAAGTATGATTGAGATTTGTTAGATATGGAGAGCATGTTTGCATGGACGAGAGGCATTCAGGAGAGGAGTGCCGTGCCATGAGACAAACCTCTCGTCGTCCTCGGGGGACGTGGACAATTCGATTCGACGATTTTCTAGGGTCTGATGAATTCCGCGTGTTGTGCCCACAGGCTGCGGCCTTGTCCCTTTGTGCATCACACAAAAACCAAAATAGAGAAAGGATATAGAACGGAGAAAATCCTGCATTATCAACAGAGTTTTTGTGTTTCTTTGGCCAAAAATGAAGAGTTTAATGGGTACGTAAAAGTAAGGCCGGTTCCCTTGTCTTACTTGGCCTCTAACTGACCATAATAAATTAATGGTGACTCTTATTTAAAATCAAAAGGCAAAATTGGTGAGAGAACCAATTGTGATTGGTCGGGCTTAGAAAAGTCCGTGCCAAACGCAAGCGCCACCTCGTTAGAGTTTCGTTTGTGCCCATCATATCCCCTTCGGGAATATACAAATCCCCTCGAGAGGGTCACCACAGTGACTATCTCGAACTTCATTTGGAGACTTGGCTCACATGGATCAGACCAGAGACTTACAAGAACAGACACTAAAACATTTTTCCCATGAAAAAGTGAACTCAGTGTTACATAGGCACCAATTAGTCAATGGTAATAGCTTGCTTAATGCTGCATTTAATTTGGAGCTTTTTTACTTTTGAAGGGTATTCGAAGACAAAAACTGAAGAATTATATCGGTGGATCAGTCCTAATTGAACATCTAAAAGCTATCTTAGGAGGAGTTTAGAGACTTACGTTCAATTATAGAGACCCATTTGGATCCATTCTCTCAGCCATTTACCTTACTGCTAATCCCATTTGGCATACCTGGACGAAGCATATCGAGATTGACCACCACTTTGTCCGTGAGAACAATCTTATTTTTTGACACACATGGAAAACCCAAGCTCTTCATCTTATTTTAGCCTCACCTTGCCATCCAATCTTCCCGACCTACTGGTCAAACTGGATGGACAAACTTGTTGTAGCTAACAATGCAATCTAGAGAGGCTGGATATGTTGATTTACAAAACTTAACAATTTTTCGCTAAATAATACAGGTTAAGTTTTATAAATGCAAAATCAGGTTGATAATATCAGGTGCAAGGTGCTTCTATCGTATATAAAATGAGATAATAAATAGATATAAGATGATTTATGTAGATCTTATAATGGTTCTACTTATAACTAAGCCCACGTCCACTCTCCTAGATTAATAGCCATAGATAGGTTGAAATCCACTAGTAATCTCTTGAGTAATTACTGTTGCGGAAACAAGCGATCGAACAATAAAATAGATAGAATAAAAAAGTAAATCAGACACCAGATTTACGTGATTTGATCGGTGTGACCTACGCCCACGGGGAGAGCAGCAAAGAATTCCATTATAGATTAAACGATACAATGAAGGTTACAATCGCACTCGAGTCACTCAAATACTCTTAGTATTTTCCAGTCCCCAATTATGTCCAATTACTCATACGATGTTTAGTCTCATAATTTCTCACGAAATAATTTCTCAATCTCGCAATGAAATATAAAAAATCTTATCACAAGATTTTCACGGCTTAAGCACTTCGTCAATTTCAGAGGGTGTAATTTGACGAACAAACTCTGCCTTTAGATTTGGATTTGGATTACAAGCAAAATAGCTCACGGGAGCACCAATCCCAAAGGCATAAAACACATCCACTGACCCACGAGAATATACATAGAGAAATGCTAGGCTAACGGCACCGTCCCTCTTAAAAACAGAGATGGTGCCTTCCCTGCCTTTAAATTTCCCAAGGAAACCGGTTAAATTGTTTAGCCGGTTTCCTTCGAAAATTTGGAAGGAAAATATTCCTTAATGGGATGAAAGTGAGATTCCTTATATGATAAAAAAAAAATAAAGAAAGTGATTAACTTGAAGAATATAAATAAAATACATATAACAATACAAAATTTATGATTCCTAACCATTCACACAATCACCAATAGAGAGACCATGGTCAAGAACTCAAATCAAGCAACCATGGCCTCGAGTTTCGTGGCTCGAAAAGATCTATAGGACATGATCACTGCTAGCTTCGCGACTCGGGCTCATATAAATGGCCATGGCTACGAGCTTGAGCGGCTGTGGAGTCCACAAACTTGAGCTTGAACATTTATGGTTGCCTGAAATTTGTACTTGAGCCCACGCTATGATAGTTGCGAGCCTGTGTGGAAACCCTCTCTCTATCTCTTAGTTATTGGAGTAGAAAATCATGGTTTTCCATTGTGTAATATTTAAAGAAACAAATTTAATGCCATTATTCAAGGAAAGGAAATCCATGAGGTAATTGAATGCAAATTTTAAATGGTGGAAGATTGTTCTGAAATAAAATAAATGATATTTAAGAATTCATAAATGAAGATTACTAAATACCCAATGTGCACATATCAACTTTTTAGAAAATGTCTGGTTATACTTTTTCTTTTGTTGGTCGATTTTTGTTGACATGTATAGCAAAATTGTTGACACGAAAGGTGGAATATACATGTCGTGTTATAATTCGCTCAAATATACTATATGATACCAAATAGGCGTCACATTTAAAAAAATGATAATCAAAATTAAGAGATAGAGAGAGGGGTTACACGTAGGCTCGCAGCTACCATAGAGCGATTTGATTGGTCTGGTCAATGGTCAACTCGAATCGGATCTTGAGTCGGGTCACCCAATCAACTGGGTTTGGTCAACGGGTCAGGTCGGGTCACCCGAGCCAACCCGCGTTGTAGGGTTGCTGATGTTAATAGTGATATAGTGAAGCTGGCAGCGAACTCACCTAGCCCTGCCGACTGTAAAGGGATGAATTGAAGAGCCAGGAACTTCTACAAAGGGAAATGGCTCGAGTGGGACTTTTCAAAAGACTGTCACTCCACCTCGAACCAGTCTATGCCAGAAAGCGGGCAAAGTCTAGTTGCCTATTCGATAACATCTGCTCGTGGGTATCTTAGCTATAGACCCCTCAGCTTGGGATTCCGCCTTAGCCTTAGGGAGTTTCCTTTGCAGCTTATTCTGGGCTGCACCTGACACCAAGATTCTAAACCTTGTCTTCCCCGCTTCCGCATATGAATCCCATCTCTCAAAAGCGCACCTGTTAAAAGGCTGAGGCAAGGAAGTGATTTAGAACCATTTTTGATCTCAACAAAGCCCAAAAAATGAAAGTTAGACTGAATAATAACTAAATGGCATAAGAGAAAAGAGAGCCAAGAAGAGAAGTGAAACCTAAGTTGGATGGATCCAGAAAGAGTCTCCGAGGACTGAATAAGAAAGCAAGTGAAAGAGCTAGATCATTCCAAGGAGCAGCTGAACAAGCCCTTTCTTTTATGATTTCTAGTTTCCTTATCGGCGGAGCACTACCATTCCTCTTCCTTGGGTAGGAAAAGAAAGAGATAACAGAAGCTTTCAATAGACTCCGAAAGAAAGATCTTAGACGCTAACAAGCAAACCAGCAAGCACTGGGCAACTCTCGCGAGTGCTCAACGTACGCCGATGCCATAGCGGCACGTCTGGCGTCGTTTGGAGGCACGGCACCCATCAAAATGCTCGTCTCAACAAGCTCTTTCTGTCTATGTGATCAAAATTATTTTTGACGGACAAAAAATTTTGAAAACAGGCCATGTTCGAAAGTTCCGGTTCTAGACTATTGGTGCACCAATACCACATGTAAGCTGCAAAGATGGCACCCCAAGATCGCCAACACTAGAATCTGGAGCACAATAATGGAGAAAGAAAGGATTTGAGCACCTAATTTGGAATCCATCATTCTTGATGCGGAATTGCGACGATCTACAAACTCAAGTGCTTCTCTTCTATGGCCTTCTATATCACTAACTCAATGAGACTGCCTCTCACGAATAACGTTCTGTAACTATAACTTATGTGAGGATATTTGCGCATCAAGGTGAGAGGAGAGAATTGAACACTACTTATAAAGTTTTAAGCCACAAACCCTCTCATCACAGGCTGGGCTTTACTCGAGCCGTATTAACCAGCCTCATATTAGACCAATTAAGAATCTTTAAATCTTATCATATTAGATCAATTCCGTAAAATGGTAAATTACAATCTCAATTAATTTAGCCCGCATTAGAAAAACTCTTATAGAGTGAGGGCAAGGATCACACTCCTTGTTCCTGCCCCGGAGGCGGGGCAGCTCGGCTGGGGCTTTCCTGCCCTGACCCATTGTGGGCAAAATTCAAGCCATAAGTTTTCATTCAGCCATGGAAGCTCCTTTACTCCATCAATACCTCTTATTTCATTTCTTGCCTTTACTTTCACACAATCACGGAGACTCAGAAACCAAATATATAACTGACCCACCGAAAAAGCATGGTTGCACATTCATGATCTCTCAAAACTCAGAGACACAAATCACACACCCACATGCCAAGCTTCGAACTCTGCCACAAGTGCAAATTCCCAAAGTTTCAACACACACTCCACGAACAGAGAGAACCAGCCGACTCACCCACACCAGACATAGAGAGAATGACGAGAGAGGACATGAGAAAGAGAGAGAGACGATCGGCTTGCTAGGGTACCAAAGGTCCGGTGACGACGACAAGGGTTGCGGTGGTGTGGCGTTGCTGCTTGTTGTGAGTTCGATCTTAGCTTGCTAGGGTACCTAAGGTCTGGTGATGATGACAAGGGCTGCGGTGGTGTAGCGTCGCTGCTTTTTGTGAGTTCGATGACGGTCTCAAGAAAAGCTGTGAGCGACTGAGCTTTTTTGAGACCGATGATAGACAGGGGAATCGAACTATAACTTTGGTCTTGCATATCAAGTAATGGACCACTCCAACAATCCTTGGTCGGTCGGTTATTTAATCAGCAATAGGATATTTGAAAACAAACAGGAGAAATGATAAGCAATAGGAAATGAAACTAGCGGCTCGTTTGGTTATAGGAAT